GCACTTAGCTACCGAACTGTAAGAATTCTGCCTGGAAAACCTTGAACCTGTAGGTGATTTGTGCTGACCTGACTTCACTTGCTATAAGTCATGTTCATGTTCAAGTCCTTTTATTGTTTCTTCAGTGAGCTCTGAGAAACACTGAAGTAGGGTTTTTTTGCAACACATTTACATAATTCAAAAAATCCAAAACAGAAATCACAGAAGACTCTTATCAGAAAACCTGGATACGAGTTAGATGTAAACCGCTGTGCTAGCAGTCAAGAATGTACCATTGGTGACTGATGTGCATGTGACTTCGAACATACCCTTGCTGTCCATTGGGCCTTCTTTGAGAATTTTCTTTCTTCTTATGGGAGTTAGAGTATGATTTCAAATGTTCACTGTAGGAAATTGCAACTGTTAGTGAGTATCTTGCTTGATATAACACTGGCAATTACTTCTTACTGGTAGGAATGTTTTTTTTATTTACTTTTTACGTGTTGCTATGTTAGATTTGCCTGCGAGAGTCTCTTAACAGAAGTGAATTGACTTTTTTAGATAAAAGGACAATGACGGTGATGTGCTTTTATTTATCTCTAATTTGTTTCGTCTCACTCTTATATAAGGAGCAGCCAAGAAGAATACAGCCTGAAAGCTTTTAAAGTTTTCCACAAAGATTCATTTGAAAGATGCAATAGCTACTAAATTAATTCTTTGTGTGTTGATCGTAAGAGATGGTGTGTGCACTATCTTCACAGGTTGCGGCAGCAATCCGTTCACTGCTTCTACTGTCTCCTTCTGCAGCAGAAGAAGAATAGTGAGGGGAAACATCAAGACTACATTTTCTCTCCCATAGTGTTCTAGGTCTTCATCCTCTGGCTTTTTTCTACTGGCCTGCAGAGAGCAGTGCATCTCTTGGGAGTCTTACGTTGTATGAAGTGCTTGACTGGGTCCTGCACGGAGGACTAACAGAACAGTTTTTCTGCCTCGTGTCCTTTCCTCTGTGACTTTCCAAGCACAACAGCTGAAACGCCTATTGGTCAAACTCCTGATAAAGCATACACTAGGGAACAGGAAAGTAAACCTGTTTGAAGTACTGTAATTTTGATTAAATCAAAGGTAAAACTGGAGTTTCGTAAGTGTGATCAGAGTTAATGCAGATAACAGCCCAGGCTCAATGTCAGTTTTCTTAAGCTAGTTACCTTTTATGATGGCATTTTGATGTGCGGAAGATAGAAGATGGAGCCTTTGGCTCTCACACTGCACGTGATATTCTTATCAGAAAGTAAATCTAACAAAATTAGTGGTTCTAGGTCATTTGGGATACTGGGAATATTTGCAGTAGGCAAGGGTTAGCAATTCTTGGATTACAGTGAGCTTTCTGAAATTGCATAGCTAGCTATAGTAGGGATGGAGTGCAGATCTTTACCTTACCCCATTACATTTTTCAGTGCTATTTGATATCACTGTAGATTTAAATATGTAATATTGGCAGCATGCTCAATGGAATGCCCTTGACTCTGGAGTGAGTGTTACCTATTTAGCATGCAGGGGAACAAACAAACTGTATCTGTAATCTTCTTGGCCATGATGCAAATTTTGTGTCTTTTATCTCTTGTGTGTATTGATCCAGTACAAGGGGCTGTAGTTGTGTGAAGGAATCACATTGTGCTAATGTGTTTGCATGTGTATGTTTTCAACTATGTGAGTATATTTCTGGTCATTTTGGTTAGGGAATGTTTTGTATGTCTAAAACTAAACAAATCAAATACATGTGTGGTTATATAAAAAAGGAAAATAGTTCTAATTCTACAGTGCAAAAATCTTTTCTACCTTATGCTAGAAAAGGAAATGCTGTAGTATAAGCAAAATGCACTGTTTCAAAACGTATAAATAACAAAACTCTAGTTTAAAAGCATTAGACTGTTTTCCATTATGTAATATGCAGCTCAGTTTTTGTATAATTAACAGACCAACTAGCATATGGTGGAACACAATAATTACACTGTTAAACATGCATACTTGAATAGAAAACCTCATTAATAAAACCACTTTTCTAAAAATACTAAACTGTTTTATCATACCTCTTGGAAAGTTCAGAACAGATGTCAGTGCAGTGATCAATTTGGAAATACAGTGCTGTAGCTAAGAGTCTGTCAAATGTGTTTAGCAGTAATTACAGTGATGTGAGGTGACTTTTTGTTTGTTTGTTTTTTTCCAGCTCTGAACATAAATCTGAACTCTCCTTCTTGGCTGTAGTCTCCCTACTTATGATCTTCTTTCTGGTTCAAAGAAGATGCTCCCTAGTTTCAAAAATTGCTATGGCACTCGGGCTTCTGGGAGTCTACAGTTACCGGGCAGCTATTGGAAATGTCATATTTCCATGGCAACATGACAGCAAAGATATTTCAAAGTAAGTTAATCAACAGATACGTAAATCTATTTCTAGAGAGGTTTTAACACTTTGAATATCAAGGGATGACGTAGGAGGGAATGTTATGTCTAGGCTGAAATCACATTCTTATGAATAAAACTCTATTTTGTAGGTGGCCAGCACTCAATTTTTGTGGGGTATGCATAATTTTGAGTCCCATGAAGTGTCTTTTAAGACTGTGACAGATCAGATGCCAGTCAGATAAGAATTAATATGAGGAAATCTAATAGTCATACCCTGTATTTTTTCTACAAAGAAACTCCAAATACACCATATCCTCTTGTTTTAGATGGATGTGCCACATTTAGCAGAATGCATGCCAAGCTCATTTAGCTACTGCCTAGTTTTGAAAAATGCTTAGGTGGTAATTGGCAGAGTTGCTTTTCCTTATCTGTCTTTTGCAGGTGAGTGTTCTGTAGTGTATGACCTTTCAAGATGTAACCAAATCCTTTTTGAGGCCTAGGCTGTGCTGCACAATGCATACTGAGGTCTTCTGCGTGGATGTTAAATTTCTTATAGAGCTAGTCTGTAACTGTAAGGAAGCTATTAGCTCTTTCACCAATAGCTACTTTTTGGAATGTAGCTAAGTGGCTTTAGTTTTCTTACGATACTTTTTACTGTTGGATTTGTACCTGGCTCTGCAGCCTCAAGTTTTTCTAAATCATAGAATCATAGAATGGTTTGGGTTGGAAGGGACCTCAAAGATCATCTAGTTCCAACCCCCCTGCCATGGGCAGGGACACCCTCCACTACACCAGGTTGCTCAAAGCCTCATCCACCTGGCCTTGAACACTTCCAGAGATGGGGCAGAAAACTTCCAGAGTCAGTTAGGACATTTGATGAGGAGGAAGGATCATGGAAGAGATGTTGTAAAACAATTGTCTTCTGAATATTATTAACTTTATCTCACACTCATTTTGAATTTGCAAATGGTTTCTCTTGGAGCTTCTTAATCAGGGACCAGAGATTCATAAAATGTGCAGAGATGGAAAAACCCCTGATGGAGAAGATCTTGGGACGTATAGAAGAGTAGATTTGCTAAGGAATCATGTTCTGAAACAAATATTTTTGTGTTTGTATATATAGATATGTTTACATACATTCCATCTCTCCAAATATTGAACATAATTCTAGTTGAGTACTGGTGTTAAGTTCACGTTGTGTGCCAGTTCTTCTGGTTGCGAAAGTAATGGTAGTCTTTACTTAGTCTGTAGGATTTGTCTCTGTGTTTGAATCATGACTGATTTCTGAGTGTGAATTCTAGTTTTGCTTTGTGTTTGAATAAAATCCTTGGAGAAGAATACTGTCCTTGCAATAAGGAGGAAAATACTGCAGTGTGGGACAGAACATTAAATACACCAATTGAGCATAATAAAATGTGAATAGGGAAATAAGTGGACTACTTAAATACTAAAAGCAAAGCACTTATTGGGAACTTGTTTGTTCTATAGTCAGCATATTAATTGCAATTATAACAAGAAAGATACGGGCTTTTTGTGTTATTTCACCTTGAATACTGAACATGGTGATTTTGCTTAAATTATGTTTGTCATTTTCTATATTTCTTATTACATACTGGTTTAGAAGTTACTGTCATGCTTTAAAGCTTTATACCCTTTGGATCCTCTGTGTAGGCTGTTTGGTGGAAGCTGGTAGAGTTAGCAAATGCAGGTTCGGACCTTTGTGTCGGCATGTGTTCTGCACCTGAGGCAGGAAGCGCGGTGCAGGGTCTCTTTCTGGATCTCAGTAAGAGAGGACCAACACCAAACGTGTAACAAAATAGCTGTTTTAATAACATAGGCTAAAAAGAGGAATATAGATTGTGAGTGCTGTCAGATGCTGGGAACGTTGCTTTCATGCAGCATCAGGCAAAACCCAGATGAATCTTCCCATGGCATTGCACCCTCAGCAAGTTTGCTGACGACACCAAGCTGTGTGGTGTTGTGGACATGCTGGAGGGAAGGGATGCCATCCAGAGGGACCTTGACAGGCTGAAGAGATGGGCCTGTGAGAAACTCATGAAGTTCAACAAGGCCAAGTGCAAGGTCCTGCATGTGGGTCAGGGCAATCCCAAGCACAAGTACAGGCCGGGCAGAGAATGGATTGAGAGCAGCCCTGAGGAAAAGGACTTGGTGGATGAGAAGCTCAACATGAGCCGGCAATGTGTGCTTGCAGCCCAGAAAGCCAACCATATCCTGAGCTGCATCAAACGGAGCGTGGCCAGCAGGTCGAGGGAGGTGATTCTGCCCCTCTGCTCTTGTGAGACCCAACCTGCAGTACTGTGTTCAGCTCTCGAGTCCGCAACACAAGGAGGACATGGAACTGCTGGAGCAGGTCCAGAGGAATGCCACAAAGATGATCCGAGGGCTGGAGCACCTCTGCTGTGAAGACAGGCTGAGAGAGTTGGGGCTGTTCAGCCTGGAGAAGAGAAGGCTGCGGAGTGATCTTATTGCAGCCTTCCAGTACTTAAAGGAGACCTACAGGAAGGCTGGAGAGGGATTTTTTACATGGGCATGTAGTGATAGGACAAGGGACAATGGATTTAAACTGAAAGAGGGGAGATTTAGATTGGATAGAAGGAAGAAATTTTTCACTCAGAGGGTGGTGAGGCAGTGGAACAGGTTGCCCATAGATGTTGTAGGAAATGTTCAAGACCAGATTGGATGAGGCTTTGAGCAACCTGTTGTAGTGGAGGGTTTCCCTGCCCACAGCAGGGGGGTTGGAACTAGATGATCTTTGAGGTCCCTTCCAACCCCAACCATTCTATGATTCTTTGCTGTGGCACACAGGTCTCAACTGTAGAAAGGTTCTGCCCCTCTCCCATACCATGGTGCCTTTTATTTTGTTTAAAAACAAAACAAATAAACTGGAACAAACCAAAACTAACTCATGTGTCAGGGTCCTGCCAGGTCAAAATGTTATCTGTGTTGTAACGCCCACCAGTGCACACTGCGTGCCAGCACAGGGGTTCTAGCATGGTCCCTTGCAGCAGCTACTCATGCTAAAGTGGGCTTCTCAAGCCTAAAGTACAAGGCCTAATAGAGCAGACATGGTTTGTCCAAGGTCACTAACTCCTCAAACACTTTATCTTCGGCAAGGCTCCAAATACAGCATGTCAAAAAAAGATAGTAGACACATGTTAGTAGATTTCGGATATTAGCTACGTGTTGGCGTAGTGATCCTAGCTCATCTTTATTAGATGGCTGATATGATAAATGATAAAAAATGCCACCAGGAATAAACCCATGACTTTCTTTTAAATTTGTCTAAAGGTATCTTTAGTGCATTCATGACATGGAATAGCTCCAGATCTGGGTGCAAGGTAGAGGTAGTTTTGTTTTACATGAGAAAAAGTTGTAGTCAGCCACTGCATTTTTCATGCATAATGCTTTCTTCTGTAAGATGGAGGATCTTTGCTCTGAAACGCCCCCTCTTTGTACCCTTTACTGAAGACAAGTGTTCTCCCTGAATGTGACAACTGCTGGGAGGTGGATGAAGGAGAAGAGGCAATTGAAATGTGTGCCGTCTTCTGTGGCACACACTAAGATAACCTCTGAATTAAAAAATGCAAGAAAGCAATTTGGCCTTCCATTTTCACTGGAGTTCTTTTTAAAAATGATAGTTTGTTCAATGAAAAAGATGAGTATATACCATACTGACAAAACCAAAGTAGTAATAGTGCATTTGCTGAGAAATTGTTTTTTTTAAGTTTGAATTTCCATCACCTGGTTAATATGATGGTTAACTCATTTGATAACGACAAATACTCAAAGCTATTTCCTAAAGTTTTACTTCTAAGTTGCAGGAATAGATTTGAATATTTTATGATAACAATTACATCGGAATTACCAGAGATACTGAAATAGGGCACTGACTTTCTGCATTAGCCAGAAACACAGGAACTCTCTAAACTTTCTGTTTTTCTTTTTTCCCCTAAAGGAAAAAGCCAATAGGCCTTACAGCGAATTTACAAAGGCTTGCTATTTAAGGAAATTAAATAGTAAACCCTGTTTGCGTAGACCTTTAGGTATGAATTTAAACCTTTGAAAGCTAAACTGCAGAACAGAGCACTGTATTCACATTTAGGAAGGCCATGTCATTTATCATGTGACGGTTTTGCCTTTTTTCTTGGTTCTGTGGGTGCAGAAAGAAAACTGATAATGCAAATAATGTTGCTTGTAATTTCTCCTCTTGCTTTTTGGTTCTCTTTCCTGTATGTGGAAAAGAAAGATTTAGTTCAAGCTCATTTGTTAGTAAATGTTTGAGAAGGAAGGTGACCTTCCAGAGATTGAAAAAATATATAAATTTTGAAGGAGAAACTTGAGAAATTTTTAGAAATTTTGACTAGCAGTGTTTTCTGTGTAAAGCTTTTGTGTAATTATGATTTTACTATTTTTAATGTCATGGTCTAATCCTTCATATATTATTGAGTCCAGATGACTCAAGAATCCTCACTTCTGAGTGAATTATATTTACTTTGTAGGAGACCATGTTCATTCGCCACTCATGTATAAAGTGACTGGTAAGGATAGTATACACTAAGGATAGTGTGTATTAAATTATGGGTAAAATGTGTAGATGACATGTATTTTTGTCTTTTGCAAGATAAAAAAATAGATTTATAACCACAAAATTTTTAATGTGTTCATTTGGTAAATTAATTGGATTATTATTATAGCTTAGCTCACAGTTATGTAATCTGTGACTTTTTTGCCCAGTAAACAGAAAAATATCAGTGCATTCTGATGAATATCTGTTTTCATTTTCTTTATTCCTTGGGCCTTGCACTTCTAGAATAGTAGGCCGCAGTTTTTAAGATTACTGGTCTTCATGCTTAACAGCTTTTTGGATGAGAAGTTCTGCTTTCTTCAGACGCTGACTTTCACTGTAAATGAAGATGTCAATGAATTTATGGGTGTAATGAACGTAGCAGTAGATGCTAATGGCACTTACTACTTAAAATGTTGGGTTTTTTTTTTGTAATGAGATTGCTTAGGGATTTGAAAAATGTGTACAGTTACACGGAAAAATATGCTGGTATAAACCGACATACCTATATGTCTGTGCAGCTGTGTAAAGTGAGAAAATGTCTGAAGTATGCAGAAATTTCAAACTGAAATCAGGATCTTCAAATACTATAATTGTCTCTTTGGTTGGCTAGAAAGGAATATATGTTTGTGTGAATAAGTTGTGAAAAATCACTGAACAGCTTAAAGGGGATAGTAATTTTTAAGTCAATTTAGCTCCTGAAATAAAGTTTCTTTATCACTGTATGGAGTATTTTTTGAGGAAATTAATTAAGCTATATAAATGGCATATTTAAATGACTACATTTATGAATCTAGACCTTGAATAGTAATAACAAATTTATTTTGGTTACATTAATTGACATAAAATTTTATTTTTATATTTTAGGTTAGTTTAGTTTTTAGTACAAGCTGTTTGCTAAAGTTGATTTGGAGGTGCTGTAATCTAAGTATGAACCAGTTAAAGCTCTCTCATGAAATTGGCCAGTACTAGCCTTAGAATTTAACCTATTTGACAGAACTGCATTGATCTTACACCTCTCTTGAAAGACTTTTTGACCTGTGAAATAGATGTTAGTAAATAGCTCATCTTTCTGTTTCATTTATTTATTATTATTACTTTTTTTTTGATTTCCTGTTTAGGGGGATTACTGAAGCTCGTTTTGTTTATGTCTTTGTTCTTGGCATAGTCTTCACTGGCACTAAAGATTTGCTAAAGTCACAGGTTATTTCTGCAGACTCCAGCTTGAAGAGTACAGGATTGTGGGAAGTGTATAGTGGATTGGTTCTACTAGCAGCCCTTTTACTTAGACCTCACAATTTACCAGTCTTGGTGTTTTGTCTGCTGATTCAGACAATGATGACAAAATATATCTGGAGACCTTTGAAATTTGATGCAGCACAGATTACGATCATGCACTACTGGTTTGGCCAAGCTTTTTTCTATTTTCAGGTAAGCTGAATACTTTCCTGCTACAGGGGTGGGAGGGGAGCAGTTTTTTAAAGAAATATTGTCCATTTGGAGTAAAATGCCAAGTAAATCTCAGAGAGGAAGAGTTTACTGAATTCTCAGAAGGGTTTAGTTTCTAACTGCATTATTAATGTTTTGTTTTCAGAATTGGGGAAAGATGCATACCTTGATAACTTATCCTCAATATAGATTTCAGAAGATATTAAAAATACTGGATACCTATACCAGAGGCAATTATGGTTAGTTAGTGGGCCTCCTAAGTACTGTTCTGGTGATAATAAATTCAGAAATTTCAGTTGAGCGGATTAATACCAGTAAAAGACACATGGCTTTTTGTCCCTGATTCTTGAGGCTTACAAAACTTTGGTAGCATCACAGTAGGTCTACATACAGTTTAAGACTGAAGGGAAGTTCTGTGACAAGTTAATGCCTTTTATGAGAATCGTAACTAATTGCCGTTCTTATTATATCAAATGGTGTCATCCTTCCTGAGGAGCCTTATTAATTTCAATAACATAATTCTCTGCTCTGCATTGCAAATAAGGTTGCAATTTCACAAAATCTTTCCTTAGCATTGAAGCTGGAGAAGTTCTTTCCATTTCTGTAATGCCGGAATCTTAGTGTAGCAGACTCTTAAGAGCGCATTTGTTAAGTTGGGCATCAGTTTTTTTCTTGGTTTGAGAGGAGACACTTTCTGATTGGTTGCAAAATTTCAAGGTTAGATCTGAGTTGGTTTTACTTTTGAGGCATGGCTGAGGATGTTAAAACTGTGATCAAGCTTTGGGTACTTCCTGCTATGTTTCTGATCCTGTTAGTACTGACTGAGAATCGGCTCGACTTTGCTCTGAGAGTACATACCAGGATAGGGAATTGCTGATGGGGATAAGATCGTCATGATTCATCCCTTCCTACCCACTTTTCCTACTCAGAGGACATACCATTTCTTGGTTGAATGGCTTTTGCATATCTTGAATGTTACTGTTCAGGCAGTCAGCTCTGATTATGGCCTTTTGAGAGCAGCCCTTAGTGGGGTTGGCAAGTGTCTGAAGGAAGGGCCCTGTCAGTACTGAGGCAGCAAGCAAAAGCAGCTGCTGGAAGTTTAATGGTGGGTAGGCTGGCAAGAAAATCCTAGTTATGGAAAAGGGACTAATAAAGAATAGTTAGAATGTTTTTATAAAGCATCCATTTTCAGTGATGATGAATTCTTGGCACAGTTGGCTGACAATTTCACAGAACCATCAAATCACAGAATAGCTGAGGCTGGAAGGTGCCTCTGGAGATCATTCAGTCCAGCCTGCCCCATCCAACAGCAGCTCAACCAGATCAGGTTGGTTTGGACTGTGTCTGGTGTGATTTTAAATACTTGCAAGGACGAAGACTCTGCAACCTCTCTGGGCAGTTGGTCCCTGTGCTTGACCACCCTAGCCAGTAAAAATGCTTTTTTTGATTTTTAAACAGAACTTCTATATTTCAGTTTGTTTGGATGGCTTTTCATTCTTTCACTGGTCACTACTGAGTGACTGAGAAGGTCAGTCTGTCTACGTCTTCTTTACTCACCTTCATCAGATATCTCTACACGTTATGAGCCCTGCTGAGCTTTCTCCTCTTGAGAGTAAACAGACCCAGCTCTTTCAGATAGATGTTTATATGAGAAATGCTTCATTCCCATCATCATCTTTGTGGCACTTCAGTGGACTTTCTTCAGTGCATCCATGTCTGTCTTGTACTGGCAAGCTGAGAACTGGACCCAGTAGCCCAGATGAGATCTCACCATTGCTTACTAGAGGGAATGGAACATCTCCCTCAACCAGGATGCTCTCCCTAATGCACTCCCAGGTGCTGTTGGTCCTTGCACAAAGGACAAACGACTGGCTGATAGACAACATAATATCCACCAAGACCCTCATGTCCATCTGTGCCAAGCAGCTTTCCATGTGGTTAGTCCTGAGCCTGACCCAGGGCATGGATTTATTCCTGCCTGAGTGCTGGATTTGACATTTCCCTTTGCTGAACTTCATGAGTTTCTCATCAGCCCATTTCTCCAGCTTGTCTAGGTGCCTCTGAGTGGCAGCAGACCCATCTG